GGACATTCAGATTGTTCCAAAATGTTCACCTATTTAATTCGATTACTAATACTACACTTCAAACCGATTCACCCGTTTCCAAAGAATTTGCCCTTTTCTGACATACATAGGAGTAGATGTTGACTAATTCGGATGCTTTGGCTCATTTACGAATACCTCCAAAACCCATACAATGGTTAGGGTTCTATGGTTATCGGTTCAAGCGATGTCCAACACTCTGACTTTTGGGGTGGACGTATACCTGTTGTGACACCAAAATGTAAGTATACCAACTATTTGGGACGTAAGGGCTTAATTAGTGAGAGGGAGAAAAGACAAGTTTGTTGTTTCACCCAGGATTGGTGCCAGGGTTAAGGTAGATCATACTACTATATCATATACATAGTTGTTATAGCAACAATTGGAATGTGTTGTACGTCCATATAAATAAATTTCAATAGTATCAAAGGTATGCCACATGTTTAGCTAAGCAATTAAGCAATTATTTAATGCAAAAGTAGAGAGCCTATTCGACTAATACTTTTCGAATAAAATAAGTTTGTATAAAATAATAAAACCTATAAAGCAAATAAACAATAAACGCATTTAAACTAGTTGATCTGCTAATACAAGAAATGGCTTTATGTGTGATTTTTTAAGGAAATGAGGCAATTACAATGTCAAGAGTCAAGAGCCAAGCTTAGATTGCAGACATCGGAGCTTGTAAAGGTCGATAAGAATTTTGGCGCATGGGGTTTTCACCTAGACAATGTCTGGGCCCGCTCAATGGCAGTGACGGCATTGACAACTAACCGGTTTGCTCGAATAAATAAAGAAAAACACCCATACCCGCTTTAGAGTCGCTGTATTTGACCATTTTCAATGTCATGTTTTGTTATGTGTAAACTGGTTTGTTTCAATACTTTTGCAGAGCTTTGTGCCACGGACCCGATGTACTGTTACTAACATATTGCCTGGCCTCTAATAATATACTTATGTACATATATGATTTGTACTGCAAGCTCTTCACTTAATATTTAATCTCGATTTTATTTATCAATGAGTTATTAAGTGAATGTGCACACATGTGAGCTTCTGAACTTCCACGCACTGGGACTTTAAACAGCTGGCAGCAAGTCCTGAAAAAATGCAGACAAGTCTGGTAAAAAATTCATTGTCTTTGAATTCGTAAAGCAATGAAATGTTTTGTAAAACAAAACTTATCTAGAGTAGGTGAGAAGATGAGACTGGCTGTTATAGGACTGCTACTCGACAGCTACTGACAAAAATATATAGAGAATGTATACTATACACCATCATCGCCCACACAAAACTACTGGAGCGTGGACACAAGTTTAAATAAGTTAACCACTCAACCACCAGCTGCAAAATATGGTGTTGTTTTAGAAATGTAGACCCGCAAGGTGCAGAAAATCTTACGCATAAGTGGATGGAGGCCATTACATTAATAGATGATCGATTTAGCCATTCTCGATTTGTAACCAATTTCGGACTGCCTCCTTTCATGGGAGCAATGTGGCTTGAAAAGATCTTAGTTCTTGTAACAATCGAAAGGAGGCATCGTAAGTCCCACAACTCAGAAGAAGTTGGACATGGTCTCGGAGAGTAAACGAGTCATTACATTTGGAATGCAGGTTCCACTTAACCAATATGTTTGTAAGTTACTTAAAAACAAGAAATATGTGCGTACTTGTTTGAATATAAATAATGACAGCGGTTTTACTCTACTTGAATTTTTTCAAAACCACGTCTTCACCCGATCGGGTATAGGACGAAAAGTAAGTAACTTGCAATTGCGATAAAGGAACTTTCGTTTTGTTCAGCGGTTGATTCCATTCAATAGTTTGCCAACTTTCCAATTCTTTTAAATGTCACATCAAATATAGATTGCATTTTAAATTGTGGAGAAATGCAATTGTTTTAATCACTGTCTATGCATATTGTGTGAACCTAAGGTATGGACTGTGCCAGTGTTCATATTATATTGATGTACTCGCGCAACTGTATTGTGAGGCAGATAGCAGTAAGCTATACTATAACCATAAATGCAATGTTATCGGAGTCTTTATACGCGTATGAATATGCAACAGTATCGGGAGCGATAGATCCAACGAACAATTGCGCTGCGACTTTATTACTTATATAATTGTGCGACACTGCGCAAATGAAATACCCGTAGATAATAACAATAAGAGGAATTCGGGGACAGGGCAGGGGTCGACTGTGTAATATATTGCAATAGCAATATTGGCGCCAACAATGTAAATTCACAATATATTTAGCAAAATTGGATCATTATCAATAATGTGCTGGAGTGAAGTATTTCAATTCAGAATTCGTCGACAATTTATTACATTAAGTAAACAAGTTTGTCCCTTTATTTTATCTTCAACAATCGGTGACCTTACAGTTCCGCAATCAATGTTCGCAAAATGAGCTCAATACGAGCTCATTTTTATGCTCCTGCTCATGAGTTCATGAGTATAGTACTTATGTTAATTATTATCGTTTGTTTTTACAGCCCTTCGTACTCGCTTTGGGTTCAATGTGCTTTAAGTTAAATATTCTAAATCTGTTTCGCTTCTTAATTGCGCTTAAACATTTAGCACTTCAATGTGATTTTTTTTATGCGACTTACGAATGGAATTTTTGTACTCGTAACATGTAAAACCAAACGTAAAAGTTTATTACTACTGTATTATATTACTATTATTAGAAAAATATATTTCTGAGAGCACAACGACCAGCTCAATAGTTTTTACAATAACCGATTTTTAAGTACTAAATCAGGTTAAGATATACGACTATTCATAAACAATAGGCGCGCGCTTGAACCTTACTCAGAAATTAATAAGCAATTTATTAACAATTTATGGTCTAATTTTTAATTTGGAATTATTACAATTTCAATTTAAAAAACAATATGCATTTCATTTCATACATTCAAAGTGCGCAAAAACAACAAAAACAGTTTCCAGCAGAGCGTGGAAGTGAAGCAACATTTCATGGTTTTCATTAAGATACATATAACAGTGCATATGGGTAAGTATTCTCTTAAAGAGTTCCATTGCAATGAGATCGAAATTCGAAGAATTGTAGTAGGTTTATTAAAATGTCAGTGGCGGGATCATCGAAAAAGGAAAATGCTTAAACGTGCCTTGGATCCAAATGAATCTTAACACCGCATTTGGAGGTACAACCTCCATTTGATTCTTTTTATACCCTGTATCCGGGTATACGAATTTTGTTCGAATGTATGTATAACTCAGAAGGAGGTGTAGCAGGCCCCTAAAAATATTTATATCTATTACTGATCAGTATGACAAGCCAAGTCGATATACTTATAAAAATGAAAAGGTGCAGAATTATTTATATTGAGATAGTAGCCTTGCTTCATGCACCCTGCCGGAAGGCATTACGAACGCCGGCCTGAATACAGCGATTGCAATTACAATCATCGTCCGAAACCAGCTCCGGCCGCTTGTTGCAGCTAAAGGTGGAAAGGCGTTAGAAGAGTTTCTGCACTCTAGATTTAAATAAAAGACTTTAAACCAATCCAACGGTGTTGGACAAATTGCGATTTACGCTTTATTCCTACAACAGTATAAAAAAGTATAAAAAAGCTTACTGAATGATGGAATAATATTCACTATCGCTCTTTTCCACAAATGTTTGACCACCAATCAAGCGGCCTTCGGATAAGACTATGCGAGTTATCGCCAAATATTGAACCAAGTAGGCTAATGTAATGGAAACAGGCAACAGCAATGGCTCAAGTTCATTGGTAATCACACGAGGCATCAACAGCTGCAATAATGTGTCTAGCGGCCCGGCCAATGGCAGCGATACTGGAAGCCAGCCACACAATTGAATTACACACGTACTCCACACTCTGGCTGTGGCTGCGGCTGCGACTGTGGCTAGTGACTGATTGAGCCGACGTCTTTGTGGCAAACGCACGTGGAATGCAAGTAAATTGCCGCTGCGAGTGTGTAGGTTGGAAAGGGAAACAAACAAATAAACGGAACTGCTTGAAACAGTCGGCGACAAGAGAAAAGCACAGGGGCAGGGGCGCGGTGGGGAGAGCGCCGTCGACAATTCTGTCGCTTAAATGTGGGACAAACGCTTGGAGGCAACGCCAAAGCCCGCGAGTGGGGCAGAGAGAGAGACTTTCGGAGAAAGTTTTGCCAAGTTCGTTTTTATCTACCCAGTTGTTGTTGTGGCGGTTGCAGTAATTGTTGATTTTTGCTCTTATCGATTTCTAGAGCACGCTTTAAAACTAATCTTCACAATTCATAAATACATACTTCACATTTGTATGCACAGCTGGAGGTAAGAAAACAACTCTTTCATAAGATTTAGATGCTTGAAATAACATATTCCAGCACGTTTTCAAATGTAAAACGTTCGTGTTGAAAAATTGGCAATCAGAATTTAAAAAAATAAAAAAGGTAATGACTATTATAATTTTCGATATAAGATTAAGGAGCACTTCAAGGCGCCATTTTAAACATGCACAGTATCATCCGGCATTTTTGTTTCTTCATAAATTCGGTATTTCCAATTCCAATTCTGTTTTGATAAAGAATTACGAATTACGAATTCTTAAGAATGTTGTATTTTTGAATTTCTTTCGTGCGTGACCAATTTAAAAGATAAGCCTAACCCAATTGCTTTATGCTCTTTTATGCCGTACAATCTAAGTGCAAGATCTCTGGAATTTTACAAGCAGTTTGGTTCAAAGCGACAAAATTTGGAATTATTAAGTAGTACTCAGAACTGTATATTTTCAAAGCCCCGCAAAATAAATTTTTATACAAGTACGTAGTTTTTTTGTAGTTTTGTGAATATAAGAGTAAGAAGCACAACACTCTACCAACCCGAACTTGTTATTTTTTTCATATTTTCTTTTGTACTTGGGTATGTTTTGGGAGCTTATCACTAGACATCATTTCCCAATATAACAATAGGTATGTGAATTAATTGGCTAATAAACTCACCCATCGTACACACGACATGTCGTGTTATTGATTCGTTTATCGGATGCGCGTCGACGTCGGTCCTCGAAGAGGTCCTTAACTGCAGTTACGCCTAGCACAAAGAGCACCGGTATCATCGCAACCTCTTTCCCAAAAGCGTTTATGGCTGGCACCCAATTAAGCAGGACAATGAATATGAAATACAAATTGGCTACACGGTGGAATTGCTCCAAAAGATTCTTGGGTATAAACGAGAGCAGTGTGTATTTGGTGGTTCTTATTTTGTTGCCCACAAAATGTCCGTTGGGATGGTCCCGCTTTGGAGTCTTCGGCGGCACCATGTGGTTGGGCACCACAACTCGGTAGCTGCGTTCTTCGAACTTGTCGCTCTTATTGTAGCTGCACAACCCAATGCGTTTCCACCAAGGCGGTGCCTCTGTGCGCCGTAGCGTGTAAATGGATTCTGAGCGCGAAGCTTGTCGGGAGTGTCCGCGCCCTCCCGTACCCGACGTAGGTGCCGATGGTCCGAATTCCCTTTCGCGCTCCGGCTCATCTTTGTGTCCAGGCGGTAAAATAAAATCGGTTTTTGAACCAACACGACTATGGCCGCGACCCGATGGCGCCCCACTGCTCGGCGGTGAATCCGTAATTTGACCTTGAGAAAAGGCGCGTTGATGCCCCTTCATGGCCGATTTGATGGGCCGTCCACTGGCGCCCAGAATAGCACCACCACCATGACTAACAGAGCGGGCGTGTCCACGCGATCCCGGGATTGCCGCTGGACTTAGTGTGTGGGACATAGGACCTGCCATGTTGCCCGATATTATGGCAACGCCCGGTATACCCGGGCCGTTGGGCACGCTACCTATGAGAGAGCTTGTCAACTGATGTGTGCCAGGAAAGACATAGGTGCGTTCCGGCTCGCCGTCCGCCCTTGTTGAGACGTGCAACGACGTCGTCGTTGTCGGGGTCATCATCATGGCAGAGGCAGAGGCAGACGCTTCCTGTGTAAGTGGATTGCCAACACTGGCTAGATTCGGAGGAGCCGAGTGCTGTTGCTGCACTGCTAGAAACTTTCGCCTCAAGTCTTCGGTTGTTGCTGAAGGCATTTTCGCAATTCAACACCATTAGGTTATTGTCTGAGCTGTGGGGGGCTGGGTATTTCTTTTTTTCTGCTTGATATGGTATGGTGTAGGAGCAGTGGTTGAGACTTTATTTAGCGCTTGCTTTTCTGTTGCCTTCCCTCTTGTGAAACTGCAAGCCATTAGCACTTCACATCGTCAGTCTGCTTCGCGTCAGCCGTGACGCGTGTTTGCAGCTGCGCAGACCACTTGCCCATCCGCACATCTGAAACGAGGGACGGGGAACGCCATTTAGCAAGTAAAATAAAAAGGTAAGCTAAATGTATGCGATAAACTGATATAAAACGAGTAAAACGCTCAAGCAGAGCCAACACGACTCTGGCATGCCCTGTAGCCGCCCCTCTCCGACACAGCCCATTTTATAATGCTCTAGTTTTGATGAAGCTTCAGATTATTGTGAGGTACTTAAGCATTTTTATAATGAGGCTCCATGTGATTTGTAATAAACGTGCTCGGTGATAGATAACATGTACCAAGTTGTATCTACATGTGGGGATTCGGTTTGAATAAATGGCTTTCGTAATTGCATTAACAATCTTATAGACGGGTGTTCGCATCGCATTCATTCCCAAGTCCTACAAGTAATGCCAGCTCGCTCGATTCTGTTATTTGCAATTCGCACTCAATCAGCTCAAATTTTGATAAATACAGCTAAAAATAGCTTCATTTCCGGAACTCTGAAAAATGCAAAGCTACCGATTGGTTTGAATTATAAACATTGCGATAACTCAAATATACACGTACATGCTTTTAAGAACGGCCTTGACTTGAGACCAACACAATGTTTAAACTTAGGAAATACAGCGAATTTAGGCGGAAGGTTAAACGTGTTAATGTCCAATTGGTGTGAACGAAGTGAGCATAGCTTGACTAATTGTATCACACAATGATGAGAAAGCAAGCAACGCTTCTACTATAAGCGCGGAAATATCACCTTTGAGAAGCCAGAGTTAGCCCACAAAGAAGTCCTTGTAGATGGCAAGCGAACAACCTAGCGTGGACTTCTATAGACCATGTACCCACATGCAGTACGAACGCCCACTCCAATAACAATAATTGTCAGCAGTCGCGATGGTTATTTCAAATGTCAAGGCTTCAATAGACTAAACAATTGCAATTGAATGTTCAATATATTCGATCATATTTTTACAGAAACACGCAACTGCGCTACAAACTAAATAGCTAACTTTTGAAGCGTTCCTTCAATTTTTCTGGACAGCTAAATCGCCAACTTATTACCGTTGATTGGGCGTTTACTATTTTTTTAAAGTAATAGTAATTGTATAAGGATTTTCATTTATCATTTAAATATATGTATCTTGTGAATATGCATTTACATATATAGTACTTATATGGGCTGATTAATTAAAATAAAACCTTGGACTGAAGTTATGCGGCGGATAAAACCCAGGGTTCGCATTCTGCTTATCTTTATGCTCAAACTTGCGGGTAAAATGGGAAATTTACCCCATCACTAATTGGCTGCAATGACGTCGTTTCATTTTTCGGGGGCAGCTATGCAAGTACGACATACATATATACTCGGACATACAGACGTGTGCGGGATGTATGCAATGTGTACGATGCCACGATTGTGCGCCTACATTGTTATATGCTCGTTTGCTCACCCACGGGTGTGAGCAACCCACTTCTGAAATTGCTCACACCAATTTTATGGTCTGGTATTTAGTGTAAACAATACAATCGGACTGGCAAGACTTTTCTGCAACATTTTAGAACGTTAAATACTTGTGTAAATGCGGCTGATAGTGCAAATGCAATCTACCAATTTTGTCAATATACTAGTTTTGTGCGAATGTATGTAACACACAGAGAAGGAGGCGTAGCAGACCCCACAAAGTATATATATTCTTGATCAGCATGATGAGACGAGTCGATCTAGCCCTGTCTGTCTGTCTGCCCGTCTGTCCGTATGAACACCTGGATCTCAGAGACTATAAGAGCTAGACACAAAATTTTGCACAAAGATGCCTTATATGTGTAGGCTGTGCAAGTTTGTTTAATTTTTTTTTTTTGATTTTCCCCCACTTCCGCCCTATGTGGGTTTCCCCGCTTTTCCATTCGTATGATCACCTATATCTCGGACAGTATAAGAGCTAGGGACACCAAATTTTAGTCCCAGATGTCTTATGTGAATACGCGGAAAATGTGTTTTTTTTTTTAATTCCCCTTCACCCTCTCTCTCCCATGCAATTAGTGATTTTCCATAACTCCCGTATTTCTTGGACTTTTTCATTGAAATTCGGAAAATACCCTCAGTTAGTGATTATGAGTCTGTATGCTGAGTCGATTTAACAGGAAGTTATAGCCATATATGTATATATGACAGTGCCCGCAGCTGTTGTTACTACACGCATAATTATTCTACACATATGTACAGAGTATTTCACTTTAGCTTCTCTACTTGTTTTGTGAATCTATTGGTTACATACTATATACTTTACTGTACCAGAATCGACCCCAGAATATTAACACAAAAGTTATTCTACTTTCATTTAATCTGGTTCAGTCTTTGATGGCTTTGATAGCGATGCTTGATTCGTTGTTAAATTGTATTTTAGTGCTACATCTAATAGCTTTAATAACAAATTCGACCGGTTAGTCATCCTTTGTGTTTAAATTTAGTTGAAAAAGCTTAAAGAACATGCTTTCACATTTTAGTCATTCAACTAAAATATAATTCCTTTATGATAAATGATTAAATGTCAACCTATGGCGAGGTACGTGAACATAATAATACTACGATTGATTTCTGCATCGTTTCTCTGACAGCTATAATATTTTCGGCCTTCACCGTAGCCTGAGCGTAAGATTAATTCACTACTAAATTTTCTAATGTCAACCGAATTGAATTATTTATTTAATTATATAAATAACGTGAGCAACTTTTGGCTTAAAAACCTTTAGAATTGTGGAAATTTTTGATGAAATTCCGGTGGGCGGAGGGGAATGCATATCGTCTAGAGACTAGGACAGTCTGCATACCATGTTTGGTCAGACGTTTCAGAAATCCATGGTAAGGAAAGATAGCTTTGTCTTGCCACGCTGATCAAGAATATATATTCTCTAAATATTTTATAATACTCTTAGTAGAAAAGGTTTTATGAATACAAATGTCACACTATACACTGATGCTTCATTTAAATAGGAGCATTTTATCTAAGAGTTGCCTTAGGAACGAACGATGTAGAAATAACATCAAATGCCTAATACGATATCAAAAAATTTGGTAGCTATCGGTTTATTTAGATACCTGTTAGCCTTTAACAAAATGCTTGAATTAACAAATAAATGTGGCATTCAGCTCTTCAGTGTAAGATCAAGAATTACTTTTAAATAGAATACCGCATTTAGTGATGGAAATTAGGAATCAGAAAAGTGCTCTATACGGCATTACCCCATACCAAATTATCATTAGGGTTATCGAAAATTAATCTGTTGCCAATAAAACCCAAAAAGGGTCGTCATTGTAGAGTGCGTGTTTGAAGTACCTATTTATATAATTATTTTCGTTAAAAAGCACACTTGTTTTCATACATCAATGTACATGTGGAGATACATTAAATGAAACTAAAGCGTCATTAAAAGCATTGTGTATGTTTAAACGTTACAAAACATATCTCCCGCATTTGTGAGCGATTTGCCATACCAATAGACCAATTATTTAAAATGCTATGACATTTTACAATTGTTCCCTGGGGCTGAATAAAAGTGCCACCTGATGGCAAAGCTATTAGAACACGGTGGCGATCCCCCCCCAATGTTAAAAACCTTGTAGCGTGCCAGTAAAGTGTGGACATTTGATTGTATTTAAATTTGTTTAGAGCGGCAGGTCAGCCAACCACAAAATATATCTAAACAAACCATCATTGTCCGTCGTTAGTGAACGTCAAACAAAGATTAATATTCATTGCGCTTTCCAAGCCAGCAATAGAGTGTACCTTCGAGCATATAGTATGGTATAGTATACTATACTAGTTGTGGATTGCGGATTACGGCATATGTTTAAAGACTTCACTATTATGTTTCCCTCAATGGGTCAGTGATTCTCCATCTTTAGCTTCTAATTAAATTATTATCTTTTATTATTTACGTATTGAAATTTGTTATTTTAATGCAATCATACTTCTTCCTTATTTGTATTGTTTTTTCTATATCTTCATTTCTTCTTTGTTAAATAAAATTCCCCCACCCATTCGGATTCGTTATTTAGTAGAAGCAAAAAGAAGTAATATTCTATTGCTAACAGCTCTTCTTATAATTTATGGGGCAAGTTTTGTTCATAAAGATATGGAATTGTAGGGAAGGGAGGATACCCAAAGAATAAAATACACTCGTTTTGCCTAGGGATTACGAGAGCTTACATACCTAGATTGGTTGATGTGGGCTCAGCCGTTTCATAAATCCTGACGTTCATTCAGATGGACGGACGAAGGGACATGTCTTTATCGATTTAAATCCTCAATGTGATTAGAATTATAAATATATTATATACACTCTATGGAATCGGAAATGCTTCCTACTGTCTGTTACAAATTTTGCACAAACCATAGGTTGGCCGTTTTATATAGCCAAATGGCCAAGAACTAAGCAAAGTTTCAGGTTTAGTAATATTAAAACAGAGGTGATCGACTAGGTGAAGTTAATGGATGTGAGAATTGATACTTGAATCCACAAATAATCTACTGTCTAAAAAAATAGAAGGTGTTTCGAGTTATTGTTGTGGTCTTAATATCATCAAATTGTTATTACATTTGAAGGTGTCATTATTTTTTATTTTCGGCCATATTTTAAATGAAGAAATGATCAAAATGCATTCAATTGAAGTTTTAAATATACATGAAACATAAATAGTATACAAGGTGAATTGGCGGAAGTCTTTTCCCTGACACCAAATGTTGTTAATGGGGGGCCTGCATAGCTCAACGAGCTAATAGGAATCCCATAATGTGTGAGCATGATTACAAAATTACTTGTAGTTTTAAAAATTCTGTAAAAGTGGTCTCATATCTAATAAATGTCAATTTGTCGTATAATTGATGTAGATATTCTAAGCAACAACGTGTCGTATAACTCAGGAACTAGTACCTTTACTTATCAGCAAGCTACAAAATAAATTTTAATTTTTATAAATTAGTTAACTCTTCACTTGTTGTGCTTATCAATTTGTGTTCCGCTGTTTTT